GCAGTTCACTTATTGAATAGAGTGCTTATAGTTTCTAAGCATAAACAGCATATAAAATGTGATCTTTCTCCTACAAAATAATTTTTTAATTATATATAAATTTATAAAATAACTGCGGATAATAATCTAAAAATTGTACAAAGTCATTTTATTAACTGCGTTATATTCCAAACAAATATTGAAAAAAAAAAATAAAAGTAATATCATGTCACATATTTTTTCGAGAAACACAAAATCATATTGCATAATATAAAAATAAAATTGATCAGTATTTTTTAAGTCAAGTGACGAAAAGAATGCATATGTGTAATTTTGCAATGTGCAGTTGCATAAAGTTATTTTATTTGATTCGTAGATTTAAAGCTCTATAAATATCACTAATCTCTAAACAGCCGTTTCAGAGCAATGTCACGTTTCAGAACTGTGCATGTGCTGTTTACCTGATAACATTCCGGAAGAGGATCATGTTGAATGGTAAGTACGATCTGATCTCCTGGTTTTAAAAGTTCCATCACAGCTTCTTGATGCGTAGCTTTTGTCACATCCGTACCATTTACCTTCAATATTCTATCACCCATTCTGAGTTTACCAGACTTGGCTGCAATGCCACCAGGAACAACCTAATACATTTAAATAAGAAGAAATATATGTATTACCAAACAAAAATAATGTTGTACATCAACTCTTTAACTTGAGTATTAAGTAATCAAAAATTATTTCTACAACAAATTAATCAAATTTTTGTAAAGATTGTACAAATCGGAACTTTTCCAAATACCGAATTCAAATCTCCAGTCGACACTTTGAAATTTTTCAAATTTACATCTGCTATATTAGGTCTGTCATATTAGATTTAAAAATTGTAACCAGAGATTCGAATTCAATGACTCCAATAATCTGCGGACATATATGTGTTATTAATATTTAAGAAGTTGATACAAGATTATAAGCTTACGTGAGATATAAAAATTCCCGGTTCCTTTGCACCGAATGGCGTACACGAATGATCAGTTCCCCCTATGATACTGAAGCCGAGAGAGCCTTCTTTTACAAGAACAACATCCTAAACAGATATTATTAAATTACTTGCATATTTAAGTAAAGGTTTTAATTTTATATAAGACCGATGTCAAAAACATTAACCGGAATAAGAGTTTAGAGGGATTTTTAGGACATGAAAGATATACAAGAGTTGCGGATTCTGATAGATTTTACTGAAAGCAAATTGTGACCAAAAAAGAGAGACGCTTTTCCCATTTTGTTAAGAATGATATTTGGGAGGAATCAAACTTATACTACTTACCTAATTCCATGTCAAAGGATAAGCAAACCATTTATCATAGCCCATCGATAGTTACTAAAATTTATTCTAAAACCCTCGTTCATATATTCTTTGAGACAATTTTACGAAGAATACATAAAATTAGACAACATAAGATAAAAAAAGGATAAAAGGAAAATATAATTTAAATCGAAAACTCATTAAATCATAAGTTTAACGAATAAACAAAGACATTATTGACATCATTGTATCACTTCGCATCGATTTTACAAGAGAAAAATTGAAATATAAATACGAGATAATGTAAAGTGTAAAGATGCAAACGCGATAAACATTATCACAAGAAAATTTATCTGTTACTCGTACAAAATCAAATAGACTTTCTTGGTATACTGTAATATAATACATTCATTTTTCTACGCAATCGTCATACATTTGCATATATTATATTAAAAGTGTCTTCATTCGATCTTTTATAAATAATAAATATTTTTCTTCTTTAATTTCTATTGCATTCATATCTTTACTTTCCAGATTACTCTCGTATATAAAATTATGAAACAATGAAACAATTATACTTGTTACTTACATTTATGTGCATACATGCGTATATTTAATGCATGTGCGAAAAGTAAAAATAGAAAGATGTGCCCAAACTATATACATATATGTATATACTTTTATATAAAAGAATGTAAGGCAAATATGATGGAAGAAACATAGGTGTGTACAACACATGTAACATTAAAAAAAACTCGAAATCCAAGAGAAAAGTGAATAAAAATAAACGAAATATGGTGAGAAGAGAGTTTCTACAGGAATAAGATATGAAAGAATATATTCGACGCTTGTCTAACTAACAGGCACATACCTCGATAATAAGCGGTTGCACCAACTGATTGTCGGTCACTCTAGTTACGACGGTCTCGGTGAGCGTGCTCTTTGTGATGGTCTCAGTAACTTTACCGAGTGAAGTGGGAGCTGGAGGAAAGTTAACATCTCCAGGCAAAGTATCGGGCTGCTTTATCGTCACTGTCACAATGGGGCCCTGATGGGAGTCTGGTGAAGGCGAGGATGTTGGAGGTCGGAGGAAATGAGCGGGGATCATAGCTTGAAATTCCTCGTTGGTGATTGGCTTCGGTACCTGTATATCCTCCTGCGGAGATGTTGGTCTAGGTTCTACGTGACAGGTCGCAGCTGTAGAGCCAGCGTTATTTGTAGATGTAGTGGTCGCTTGTGGAACGCTATGCCTCGGAGCTGGCTGCGGATACGCTTGATTGCTTGTCGGGCTGGGGGATATTGGCGAAACATTTTTCAGGGTATTCCCTGATTCGGTTACACCGTTCATTTTAGGTGTCTCATTGACAGCATCGGATTTCACGAGTAATGTTGGTGGCGGTGTTTTTGAAGTAGGACTTGGCGACAACGTTTTATCGGTCTCTACGGAGCGACGATATCCACCATATGCAGGTTTGTTAGCCATATAGCTGTTGGCGTTGTACAGGCCTGTGTAAGGTTTCGGTGCGCCTATAACTCGTGGCGATTTTTCAGAAGGAGTCACAACAGTGGCGTTTGCTTGAGAAAGTGGTATTTCCCGCTCGACTACCAGTCGAACAAATCTTTCCAAACCGGTGAGTAAAGTAACCGCTTGTTCGTGTTTTGCTCCTCTCATATCTATTCCGTTAATCTGCAAGTTACAAAAATGACACAGAAATATTTAGTTTATGTTCATTTGTGTTAATCTCTTACTTGTGTGTTAATACATACATCATTTTAAGAAAGGTATTTTCTCTACCAATTTTCATAAAACAAAACCCATCAATTTTCATAAAACATAGTATCAATAGGTTATCACACGAAAATAAATGAAGAAGCAGAATTCGAAATTCCAGTCAAAAGTTTCCAATTCAATGGCCAACTTAATATAAACGATAAGTAAGCAAAAATTAGAAAAAATTAGAATTGTATTCTTATCAAAAACTCTATTTTGAAGGGTCTTTTAGTTCACATTTGACATCAAAATCTTAAAATTCAGAGAAGCACTATTTTTATAAAACATGTAGTCAAATTTATTATATTCTGAAATTCTCAATAAGAATAATGAATACTAAAGAGTGAAAGCTTACTTACAGATATTACTTTGTCTCCCACTAATAATTTGCCATCTTTCTGGGCTACTCCGCCATCTGTTATTCTCGAGATAAATATTGCCTGTAAACGCCGATAATATGCAATAAATCATTTTAATGTTTTAAAACTAAAAATTAATATTAAGAAATAAGGAATTTTATTAAGATAGTTCTTACATCGTTGTTATCCTTGAATGGCGGCGAACCTTCTCCACCGGCAATACTGAATCCAAGCCCATTTTGGTCTCGTATTAATGTTGTGTGAAAGAGAACAGATACCATAGGTTCACTGCTTGCTTTCAGAGGTATTATAGGCTCAGGAATCTTTTTCGTCTATTAAATTCAAATCATTATATCATTATACTTTGTCTCTCATCCAAAAATTATCGCTTTCAAAGATATTTAAAAACAAATGTGTTACCTTTGCGGTTTCATGAGACACAGGTGTATCACCATTTTCTAAGGTATGTGACAATGCTGTAGATGAAACATAAGATGTCGCACTTGGCGCTCTACTTGTGCTTAAGCTGGAGCACACGGAATCTTTCCTCATCGGTGTCTACGAACAATAGCCAAACTAATGTTGCTCTTGCTCTTATTTAAGTTCGACTGTATATTTGACTTATTTAAATTCGACTGTATATTTGATCATTATTTAACAAATAATCAGAATTTCTTGAATCTCTGATTCTTCTTCAATCTGTATTTTGATTTTACAAGATAGTATAGATTTATAGTTTATAACTTTTGATCCACGAAATATTTACTCATCGTGTCACATTTTAATGATATGAAAATAACAAGAATGATGATAGCATAAAAGTTAAGAACAATGAGTTTTTAAATATATATAATGATCAATATTGCCTAAAATAAATTTCTACACAATAGCTGGAAATATGTTAAATGACAATTATATGTGAGATTAACAAACAATGTCAAGTTATGTGACAGAGAATCTCATCAGTTACAGTTATTTAACGAATTAATGATTATTTGAATTAATTAAAGATTGACCGACTACTTATTAGTTCTTGTAAAAGAATCAAAGATTATTTGTAGACAAAATTCTCAATAATGATTGGTAAGTCTTTTAAACAAGACTTTGTAAAATATATTCGTGAAATAGTTGAATCCAAGTAACAGAATAATGATCTGAATACGAATCTATAATTATTATAATTACACTCTTCATTAAAAGTTGAAAATTATTTAAAATTATCAATATCGATCTTGAAGTGGAAATTGTAAATTGTCAGCCGAATTAATATAACATCATCAATCAAATATCAAATTTTATAATAATTATTTTATACCTGTTCATACGGTGGAATTATTCTTGTGACTTCCCTTACGATAACTAATACAAGGACGCGTCCACACGCTTTCAATACTTCGACAGCATCATAATGATCTACATTTACAACCGATACTCCATTTACAGATATTACTTTATCTCCTACTCTCAAACCAGCTAAATCTGCAGGTCCACCTAAAAAATTAAAATATCAATTATTGTTACATATAATAAATCAAAGTTGAGCAAAACAAAACCTATTATGAGGAGCTATTATGCATACTTATGCGAAAACGTTTCGATCGCGATAATTCTGTTTTTATGATTCATCCTATTATGGACATTCAAATAAATTCCGAAGTGATAAGAAATCAATTCCGATACCTCGTGAACAAATGGAAAGTTGCTTCTTAATAATTATAAATTCTTATTAATGGTATTGTGCTTGTTAATTTTCTTTAGTTATGCAATTCTGTTCATTATTTTTTTCTATAGAAACAAATAATATAGTATCTTTGAAAGAATTAGAAACCCTTTCTTCTAAATTAAAGTTGAAACAGAGTGCAGTTGTAAAATATTTCTAAATATTTACCTTCAGTAACTTTGGAAATGAAGATACCTTCATCATCGCCTTTAAAAGGCGTTGATCCGATACCACCAGCTATTGACAGACCTAATCCACCTGTTGTTCTTTCTATATGAATTTCATATTGTTCTTCCCGTATTTCCAATGTTGGTTCAATGTCAGATGTTGCATCTAGAAAGATAGATCTTTAATTAGTAACAACTATTGGTGCGCATTTAATCTTTTAAGAAATAAAAACGCTTGACCACCAAAAGTAATTATTCACATTTGCTTATCTATCACATTAACTTGGTGACTAAATTCAAAAAGAAATTTGAATTTACCAATTCGAAAAGCTCATAAATATCTTGTTTTGTGAACACAATTAAGAACATACTTTTTTAGTGGCAAATACTTTTTTTTTGTTTTTCTGAAATGACTTTTTCGACTTCGTCGAATTAACACATATTCACAGATATATCGTTTTGTTCTTATTATACGTACATCGACATTCACCTTTTACGATCCGTTTGTTTCTAATAAAACATTTGTATCTTTTAGACATCGTGTCAAACAAAACTTGTTGCTATTTTCTATTTATATAAAAAACATTATCTCTTGTAACAAAGCACTCTACTATAATTTGTCAACTTCCTGAACTCGTCTCATCGAGAAACACTTTAATAACTAGATTAGAGATAAGGCAGCAAAAAGTGGAATATGGGATATATCTTATCGCAATTCCCCTTCTCTTGGATGATAAATTCAAACGATATAAAGATCCATATGTAGAATGTCTTTAAAATTATCTGTTACCTCATTGTTTAAATAGTTCGATATATATGATAAAAACTTTCTTCGCGAAATAACGCGAATTTATTATTACTATAATAACCAAAGGTCATCAAAAAATTTAATAGACAGATATTGCTGAATATATAAACTTAAACTACGGTCACACAGATATAAATATATATATATATGTAAAAATACTATGTGCAAACAATACGAAAATAATTAAACATCAGTGCAGCAGTAAAATAACATAATTTTAGCTACAATTTCAATTAAATTTATAAATACCTTGGCTGTGCGTGACAAACGTGTCCGTGGACTCCACCTGTGGTGGTATAGTAGAAGTTTCCTCAGCTTTTTTTAAAAGTGCCTGCAGATTTAAAATGTCAAATTTTCAGTCAAATTTTTTATCAATTATACATACATGTTAGCAAATATAAGATAGGCATCACGCACAATTTGTGCACGTTAATTATTAATATTATTAATTAAATAGTTTCACAATTGTGTTGCAAATAAATATAATATTTGTTATTTAATAATTAACACATAATATCAACCTGTGCAATAATAGCAGCAGCTTTGTCTTTATCAATTGCCGTATTAATACGTTTATTTTTCAAATGATGTGGAGTATCTCTACGTTGAAGTTTGTTGGGCTTATTTCCGTCATAAGCATCCTCGTTACTTGCGTTATCTTCAATGATATTAAATTCAACGTGTCTCTGCATATCTTCATTTTCTTCATTTTCTTCTTCTTCATCTATTTCTTTAGATTCCGAAACAGAATTTTCAGTTTTCGCATTCTGCACAAATAAATACTGATAATCTTAAAAGTATTAGTGACATATATATTTGTGTCATTTGAAGACTGACTGCCATTGTTAAGGACACGTATACTTATGTATCATTTCAAAAGTTCGATGAATCATATATACAATAGTGTTGACATAACTTTGCTCATGTTTATTAGAATAAATAATTTCTATAAATTACTCACTGCTTGAAGTTCTGCGACATATTGAACAGGGACATTATTTATCTCTTTGTTCAGTTGAACATCCGTGCTATTTGATTCCACATCAGATGCTGGTATTTTAAAATCATTTTGTACAGTACTATTTTCTATATATTTCTCTTGTTCGGAATCAGGTTGGGACATATCTACAAGATTGACTGGTGTCTCCGATTCAGGTTTATCTAAACCAAACGTTTGAGAAACATCCTGAAAAAAAGTATTGTTGAAATTAAAAATGTACAATTTAGACTTTTCGAGCAAGTTAAATGTAATTCAAAAAAAGAGTAAGCTAAGTTTACCTGTTCATCTGTAGAGGCAGATCGACTTTCACTTTTTCCCTTGCTAAATAATTTATGCGCTTTAGCTTTTAATTCTTTTGGATGTGGTGTATTTTGACGTATAAATGGAGTCTATTTGCAGAATAAGAGAAGGAGAATGAGATAACATAATGTTACAAATTAATCTATCTTAAAAAGAAATCTGATAAACATACCTCTTTGTCAGCTTCTGGTGGCTCATCGGTAAATTTCACTGAATGCGTTCTTGATGCTTCTCTTTCTTGCCAACCTTCATCATCGCTACTTGTCAGCTCACGCATTTCACAACCTTGAACATTTCTCATGCCAACTAACATTCCCAGCCTAGCTGAATCTAAGGAATGAGCATATCACATAGATAAATATTAAAAAATGAGAATCATTAAAAACATATTTAAAGCATAAAATTATCAAGTATATGATGATAAACGTACAAATGATGAAAAAAACCGATTAATTCTAGTTACCAACCATCAGAATGGAATTCCAATTGTGGTAGAAGAAAACATGTTAATACTTCTTGGCCTGTTTCCTCGTCAATGTCTGTTTGGAACGTCAGCATTGGTTGCGCCTGGTTTTCGCTCAACCATACCGCTTTCAGATTCAAGTTAATTAAGGAATATGGTAGAAAGTGTAATCTATATAACAAAATTATATATAATTATCTAACTTATTAGTAACATCAATAAGCGATTATTTTATCAAAAAGTAAAACTAAAACTAAAAAAACTTTCTAAAACATTGCCCTTTTTCTACATTTATTTTGGTAACAGATTCATTCATTAAAATATAAATAATGAGACTCCAAGATAAAAATATCAAAAAATCAGACATAAAAGGTGAACGAGTCAAAGTTTTATTTTTAGATTGTTTGTATATCGATTGTTTGTATATAATAACTTTCCCGTAGATGTAAATAATTTTTACATTACTTTTGCAATTAATAAGAAAAAAAATGACAATGAGTCCATGATGTCATTGATACAATTACAAATTATTAAAACCGGATACCTGTTTCCAGATACGTCAAGAACGTGAAGGGCACTGCACTGCCCACTTCGGCTGGAAGATATTGCAATTTATTGTCTCTTAAAGACAACACACCCAATTTTTTCAAGTTGCCTAAAAAAGTAAAAAAAGAAAAGATCAAGAAATAATCGAGAAATCAATAAAATAAAATAAATAAAAATATCAATTATCCGATGATATATCGTTTTCTTATAAAATTCGTCTCGATATCACATAATAGTAAAGAGTTGCCTATTATATTTTATCAATTATTATATCTTACCAATTTCTATTGGTAGAAATTGCAAGCTGTTTCTGTCAACATTCAAATTATTTAAATTATAAAGTTTGCCTATAGAAATTGGTAACTCTAAAAGAAAATTCTCCGTAAGAATTAGCTCTTGCAAATTCTCGCATCTGAAACATGCAACATATGAGTTTTTACAATTTATTCTTAATATATGTATATACATATATACTAATAATTTATCCTCATTTCATGTAAATTAACGCGTGATAAAAGCTTATATTTTTCACCCACCTTCCTATATTTGAATTTAGAGTAGAAAGTCTATTTTGGTCTACTTTGAGAATAGTTAACTTCTTCAACTCGCCAAGTCCATCGGGTAATTTTTCGATAACATTCTGTGACAGATGCAAATCCGTTAATGATTGGAGACCGCCAATTTCGTCAGGGAGATCCTCTAAACGATTTTCCGAAACGTCCAAGCATGCCAGTGTTTTGAGTTCACCAATTTCAGGTGGCAAGTGTTGCAATTGATTATGGTCAAGCCACAATTCCTGTAGCGCTGGTAATCTTCCTATGTGTGCAGGCTATCAAAAAATAGATAAGAAAAATTAATATAAGATAATTAAGTAAAAAATTTCCTTTTCTTCAATTTAATTTATAACTAAAGTTTTTGACTAAAATTGTACAAATAAAAGCTCCTGCATAAAAAACAATAATATGACATATAATTCATTCAAGAGAATATTTTTTTCGTAAAAATATAATTACTTTTATGCACTTGCAATTTTCATACATTTCATTATAAAACTTACTAATTCCTCAATCTCATTATCACCAAGATCCAACCGCTCGAGTTTGAGAAGTTGGGATAACGATTCAGGCAAGGATTTGAGCAAATTCTCCCTTAATTCCAATGATTGCAATGCTTCCAAACTGCAAGAAAAAGGCACATTTCCAGTAATTTACGAAATAACGGTAAAAATTACATAACAATACCTAAATACTGTAGCTTTAAAGTTTACTTCAATATTACCTTCCAAAATCAGGTGGCAAGTTTGTAAGAGACATATCGTTAAGTCCAAGTACAGTTAAATTCCTTAAACTGTACGAATCCTGCTGGAAGCCTGAAATAATAGACAAAAATTTCTAAAGTAAATGTTGACTAAACATTTAAAAGTTAATTATTATTAAAAATATAACAAAGATTAAAGTTTACTTGACAAAGATCAAATTCAAATTACAATTAGTACTTGGTACTACGTCCGGATATAATGTAGAATACACACATATTAAATGAGTCGAAAACAAGATAACAATAAATATATACTGTAAAATGATGTTTGGATTAGGAAATAGCTGAAAGATAAGAAAATTGACTGACCTTGGAATAGGATTACTACTGAAATCGGCCACCTGTAATGCCTGTAGATTCTTGATGTTCTCAGGAATGTCCGGTATATCTGTAAAATAATGTAAATATGTGAGAAATTAATAATGAAAGAGAATATCAAGAGATCGGAATGCAATGTCACACATTTTAATTATCCGTTATAATGAAATGGCGGTTTGAAATTGATATTTTCACGAATGCGTGATTAAAAGGGACAAATAGCTGTGAAAGATTCTGAAATATGTTCGTGTACACACGGCATCATTACATTCTGTATTAGACATTTTCTGGTAAAACGCATGTGTCATATTTGGATATTTTCGCTTAATGACTATTGCTAAAAAATAAAGAGCTATTCAAATAACTCTTTAATTGGCTGAAAGATTACTCAACCCCGTAATCGTTAAAAAATGAAAACGCTTTATTTTACCACAACTAATTTATATAAAAGAAAATAATCAAATTTCAACGATAGATTTTATATGAAACATTTTCAGATTTTCACATTCGAAAAATATAAAGGAAGAGAGAGAGAGAGAGAGAGAGAGAGAGAGAGAGAGAGAGAGAGAGAGAGAAAATATTTTACGTTTGTCTTTTATAATCGTAATAGAATCTAAAGTAATACTAGATGACAACATTTCATGTAGACATATGACATATCGATCATTGTCGTGAAGCGACACTGACGATTCATTGAAATGGCAGTTCACTGAAACGGTTGCGAATGACATTTACTGCGACTGAATTGTTCCGGCTATTAAGCAAAGCGACATAGAATCGCGGACAATAAAATCGACAGCGCGTCACAATATCCGTAATTACACGTCGCGGGTAATTAGATATTCGTCTTTTCACGATGCGCCCTTCCCGCAGTCGTGAATTAAAACGATATGCTAATTATATACGCACTTAATTACTCATACTGCAAGTACGCGCTGACAACATAATTACTTCAGTCGATACATCGTCCTGATTAGTATTCTAAATTC